AGTCCGGGGGTGCAATGGATTGAGGTGGCTGGGAGGTGGCAGCGTGCGTGCAGGGTGTCCCGGGCGGCATGGAGCAGGGCCCTGCGTGTGGCGAGTGACGCAGGCACGTGGCGGAGGAGGGGTGTGTTGTGTGGGGGTCGTTTTTTTTATGCGGCGGGCGGGCGGAGGGGTGAGCGACAGAGCGGGGTTGTTGGCCACGCAGGTGGGATGAGAGGGGCTGGTGGGGCGGGTGCAGGATCGTCAGTGGGTCAGGGCATGTGGTGCCCAGCCATGGGTGGGAGGCTTTTGCTGTTCAGAGTTTGCAGCACGGCCACGCAGGGAGTTCGGATGCGTTTGAGGAAGCGTCTGCAGATCCACAGGGAGGGATGTGGGCTTGTAGAGCATTGTGTGTCTGAAGGAGGGTGCGTGTGCCCCCTGCCCAGCGAGGCGCATGGCCATGCATGGCTCTTGTGCCAGCCCAGCAGTGCATTGGCAAGGCTGGCTTTTGCCATGGCACCTCCTGCCCACTGGCCTTCCCTGGAGCCTACGTGTGGCAGCTTGTGCGTGTAGAAGAAATATAGATGTTTTATTCTGCCTTTTCCAGGTAAGCCAGGGCAGAGCTGGCAGGGAGGTGGGATGGAGGACTTGTCTGAGCTGGGAAGGGGAGGGCTGTTCCTGTGACTGTGGGTCAGCACTGGCCAGGGTGCTTCAGCTAATGCTTCCTCTCCTTTTTCTCTTAGAGAAGAGACAGGACAATGGGCGAGTGTATTACGTGAACCACAACACACGGACCACCCAGTGGGAAGACCCTCGCACACAGGGGTAGGCAGCCTGCGCGGAGAGCAGGAAGGATGTTTGTGGTTTTGGAAGTTCCATGCAATGGGCTATTTGGGACCTGAGAGCTGTTCATGCTGGGGGTCTGAGCGGGCTGCAGTGCTGGGGAACCAGAAGCATCAAGAACTGCAGGCGGCATGCAGGGAGGGCTGGAGCTCCTGAGGGTGGGATGCTGCAACCGTTGGCATTGTGGGGCAGCTCTGCAGCTTGTGGGAGCTGAGAGTAGAGATGAGGAAGTCACAGGGAAGACTGCAGGGTCTTCCGGGCAGAAAGAAGCGCTTTCTTCTTGTCCTGTCGCCTTCTCACAGGGCTCTCCTGGAGCTCTTGAGAGCTCTGGGTTGTGGTTCTCCAGACACCTGCCCGAGCTGAGGACCTTTTTTGAGGCCACCTGCCCCACAGACAGAGGGTGAAGCTGTAGCTGTGGCCAAAAGTGCAGCCCAGGCTGGGCTCCTGGCTTGGGGCGCAGGCAGGTGCTTGCTAATCCCATACCATGAATCCCTCCTTTGCCTGCCACGGAGCTGACCTGCAAGTTGAAGGTGGTCCCCACAGCTTGTAATGTGAAAGGGGCTGTAGTTCAGGGTGAGGTGCCTGCCTGGTGACCTTTCCTTGTCATCAGGATGATCCAGGAGCCGCCGCTGCCGCCTGGCTGGGAGATGAAGTACACAAATGAGGGTGTGCGCTACTTCGTGGACCACAACACTCGCACCACAACCTTCAAGGACCCGCGCCCGGGATTTGAGTCTGGGTAAGTGCTTCTGGGCTGAGCGCTTTGCCCCACAGCCAGGCTGCACACTGGGACCTGGGGCTGCCTGCTCGCAGCTTGTGCCTTCCTGTGGTCCTGACAGGGAGTGGGGGAAGTGGGTCAACTTTGTTCCAGGGACACTGAGCAGTGGGTTTAGGGGCTCACGTTTGGCTCTGATAGAAGAGAGCTGCACCCCAGAGATCATCCTCCTGCTTGGCAGGCAGTGAGGTGGCTGGGGGCAGGCAGCTCACACCAGTGCAGGTAGGGATGCTGAGACAAGGCCTTTTGCAGGAGCAAGCAGGGTGGGTCCCCAGGAGCGTATGACCGGAGCTTTCGCTGGAAGTACCACCAGTTCCGCTTCCTCTGCCATGTGAGTAGAGTGGCCAGAGGGCCCCGGCAGCTCAGGGCTGCTCTGCTGCCTGGGCGCATGGGTGCCCTGAGCCTGTGGGTGAGGGGAGCCGCCGTGCCAGCCTGCACACAGCCTCGTGTCTCTGCCTCGCTTGCAGTCGAACGCGTTGCCCAGCCATGTGAAGATCAGTGTTTCCCGGCAGACTCTCTTTGAGGACTCCTTCCAGCAGGTGAGGAGGTGCAGGGGCCGCAGCACCTGCTGTAAAGGTGTGGAGCTGGTCCTTGCACCAGCCACTGGTGGCAATTCCCTTTGCTCCTCCCCAGATCATGAACATGAAGCCGTACGACCTGCGGCGCCGCCTGTACATCATCATGCGGGGAGAGGAAGGCCTGGACTATGGCGGCATCGCCAGGTGAGCTGAGCACCGGGTGCTGGACCATGTACCTGCTGCTGGTACCTCTGGGCTGTGATGTGGAGCCCTAAAGGGCAGTGCGGGCACTGGAGTCTGTTGGCAGCTGCCCCAGGTCCCCAGCCTTTCTGCGGCACCTGCTTGGGCAGAGGAGCCCAGGGAGTTCCAGTGGGAAACAGTGTGAGTTTTAGGAATGGTGGGACACTCTGAAGGCGTTGCACCAGCCTGTCCCCAGCACCGAGAGGGCTGGGAAACCCAACATGAACGCTCCTACACCACACGTGAACGCTCCGGCTGCCCGTGGGACATGGGGTGATGGGTGAAGGGGTCTCTTCTCCCCCAGCCATTAGGCCCTAGTGTTTCCTGGGACATTCGGTGTGTGCCAGGCGTGGTGCCTGCTCCAAAGGGTGGTGTTAGCACAGAGCACGTGCTGTGTCTCAGCTGGAGGGGGGTCCTGTGTCCCCATCTGGCCCCACTGGCTCCGTGGGGGTGTCTGCCTTAGTGCTGGGCTGTTGCTCCCCCACCTGCTGCCGTTCCGGCACTTGGCTGCCACGCTCTCCCCTGCTCCTCCTTTGTGGAGCTGCTGCCCCCGGCTCTGGTGCAGGGGTTCCTGCTCTCCGCCTCTCTCTGTGTCCTGCCAGTGGTTTTACCCTATGGTAGGTTACGTCATGCTGTTCTACCACAGGGTAGAACCACGGACAGGATGCTGGGGCTGCCTCTGCGTCTGAGGACTCCCATCTCCTTGCACAGCCGGGGGAGCAGAGCCAGGATGGTTCCCATCCAGCGCTGCTTTGAGCTTGGGATGGAGCTCCTGGGGGGAGCCTGTGTGGAGAGACTTGGGGCGGGGGTGCACAGCAGCGTGTGCGTGTATGTGTACAACAGCCTGGGTGGGACTGAGCTGTGTGGTGTCTGCCAGGACCCCCAGTTCTCCAAGTGGGGCCTCTGGCAAACGGGGATGTTTGTTGCTGGTATCTCCAGAAGCACTTCACAAACCAAACACAGCACCCCTGGGGTGGAGGAGGCCTTCAGCAAGTCACACTAGCGTCCAGCACTTGCAGTGGCACCCTGTGGAGATGGGGACCTGGTTTGTGCAGGGTGTGACGTGGAGCCACATGCTGTCCCCTCCAACGGGGCACAGCCCCTGGCTCCTTGAGCTGCTCGTCACTGTGTTCCCCCTTCCTCTTGCCCCAGGGAGTGGTTCTTCCTCCTGTCCCATGAGGTGCTCAACCCCATGTACTGCCTCTTTGAGTACGCCGGCAAGAACAACTACTGCCTGCAGATCAACCCTGCCTCATCCATCAACCCCGACCACCTCACCTACTTCCGCTTCATCGGCCGCTTCATCGCCATGGTAAGAGCTCAGGGTGATGGACCAGAGGGGCTGGGGAGGCAGTGGGGTACAAGATGCTTCATTCACATGTCCCCATGGAGCAGGGGCCTCGCAGAGGATGGGGTGGTCAGCGGGGCAGCTCTGCTGGCCATGGCTGTGCTTGGCTTGGCATTGTCGACCTCCTTAAGCCCCTTCTTGCTCAGGTGTGGGTCTGTGGGAGATGGGTCGTTATGGGGGTGCAGTGGGGAGGCTGCGGGTGATGTAATCTAAATCCAACGAATGGCTGCGGGGCCAGAGGGGACCTGGTTTCCCAGGGGCGGTGTGGGGATGGCTCCAGGGCTCTGGCTGCCACCCCAGGTGCTGTCGGGTCTGCAGCTCTAGGGACTATTTTTAGCCCCAGCACTGTGAGATTTTCCAGCTGCCCAAGCCCCAGAGCGGCTTTTCCTGTTCGTCTCGCATTCCCCAAGGTGAAGGTGCTGCAGGTTGCCCAGCCCTGGGCTGGCAGTGGGGCTGGCAGGGGCTTCCAGGGCGTGGGGAGGGGTCCCTGGCCCACAGCCCTGTGAGGTGTGCACTGGAGGTGGCTGTGAGCTGCTTCGGACCCCGTTCTGCCCTGCCCCGCGCCTTGCAGGATACCAATAAAACCCCAGACTATTACTCACTGCTGGGCTGTTCTAGACAAGCGTCTGCATTATTTTTGGCTGCCTTTGCCTTGGGGCTCCTGGAAGCCAGGGATTCAGGGAAGCCACAGCACAGCTCTGTTTAAACAAGTGCTCTTAATAGAGCTGTGAGGGGAGAAGGAGACGCGGTGGAATTCATGGTGGGGAGGGGAGAGGGGTTGTGAGCACCGGGCCGTGCTGGAGCACCGAGGGGAGCCTGCTCCTCCCCATGGTGTTTGCCAGCCGTGAGTAAGTGCTGCAGCTCTGGGATCCCGGGAGCGATTTCCTTTTGCTCCAGATGATGCCCCCATGGTAGAGCATCATCTCGCCCCATGGGTCTGTCCTGGCATTCCCCATGACCTGGTGTCGCTTTCCCACCACAGGCGCTGTATCATGGGAAGTTCATTGATACTGGCTTCACGCTGCCCTTCTACAAGCGGATGCTGAACAAGCGCCCCACACTGAAGGACCTGGAATCCATCGACCCTGAGTTTTACAACTCCATTGTCTGGACGAAGTGAGTGCCTCGTGCTCCCCCCTGGCCCTGGTGTGTTCCGCTGTGGGGAGGCAGCGCTCCTCCGCGTGCTCTCTCACTGCTGCCCGGTGCCTTCATCAGAAATCACATCCTCTCTCCTACAGGGAGAACAGCCTGGAAGAATGTGGCCTGGAGCTGTACTTCATCCAGGACATGGAGATCCTGGGCAAGGTGACCACCCATGAGCTGAAGGAGGGTGGTGAGAGCATCCGAGTGACGGAGGAGAACAAGGAGGAGTACATTATGTGAGTGGCCATGCCGAGGCCCTTGACAGGCCCTACCCTCGCTGGCGGCAGGGCAGTTCTGGGGTGGGAACATGGGGTTTGGGACGTGGCCGCCTCCCTGGGCTACGTGGCTTGTGACAAGTATGGGCTGGCACAGTCGGCCAAGCTCCGCTGCGGTCTGGCTTGCTGCTGGCTGGGCAGTTGCCAGTACTTTCAGGAAAGTGGAAAGGGGAGAGAGGGTGAGACTTCTCTCCCTGTCCCGTGGCTGCTCACCCTGCCTGGCTGCTGCTGGGCTGGCTGGGGACTGCCAGGGCCACCTCCTCCTGCTGATGGTTGGCTCCAGCCAAGGGATGTGGTTTGCACCCCTCAATCTCCCGAAGGCTGCTGCTCTGTGCTCAGGGCTGTCTGCTGCTCGTCAGAGGCAGAGAGAGAAACCCACTAGAAACCCTGGTGATCTGCAGGAGCCCGTCTCCCCCTCCCCATCTACCCCTGCATATCCAGGGCTCTCCCTGCTGGCGGGAGGGATGGTGATGGTTCCTGTGCCAGGCCAGCGGTGCTGGCTGCCTGCCGACCCCTGTCTGCCTCCCCAGGCTGCTGACGGACTGGAGGTTCACGCGGGGTGTGGAGGAGCAGACCAAGGCTTTCCTGGATGGCTTCAACGAGGTGGTGCCGCTGGAGTGGCTGCGGTACTTTGACGAGAAGGAGCTGGAGGTGAGCTGGTGCCTGTGCTGGGATGGGGTTCCGGTGCTTCCCAGTTGCAGGCTGCCTGGGAATGGCATGTGGTGATGGGCTCCATAAATAGCCGCTGCAACTCTGCTGTGCTGGTGGGCAGGTGGTTGGGCCTGTGGGGTGACTTGTTGGGTCCATTAGCAAGAAAATGTCTTGTTAGAGGCAAGGAGTTCCTCCAGACAGCTCTGTTGCCCAGTATAGAAGCCTGTGCCTTAGGAAGCCTGGCAGTGGAGGAGTCAGTACTCTGAGGGATGGGTGCAAGGCCCTGATTCTGTCCCCTGCTGACTGTCCCCTGTCCCCAGCTGATGCTGTGCGGCATGCAGGAGATCGACATGAATGACTGGCAGAAGAATACCATCTACCGGCACTACACGAAGAACAGCAAACAGATCCAGTGGTTCTGGCAGGTGAGTCCCAGTGCCAGCAGCATCTCTGACCCACTCCAGAGCCCTGGGATCGTCCTTTGCCATGGCCTGGGCAGGCAGAGCTGGGTTGGGGCGAGCAGCCTCACAGGCTGTCAGGAAGAACGAAATACAGCCACGAGCACGTGTTCAGTAAGAAGCATTTGGCTGTGGCTGGCAGAGGCCCCAGCACTGCTGCTGAGTACAGCAGGCAGCACTTAGTGGTCAGCGTGCTTCTAGCAATAGCTGCTGCTCTTGGGCAGGGAGACAGAAGGGGGTGACATGTAATAGAGCTGTGTTGGTTTGGGTGGTGCTGGTCTGTGCTGGTTAGGAAAGGAGTTAGAAGTGGCTCTGAAGGAGGGCAAAACTGGGCAGAGCTGCTCCTTGCAGGCACTTTGCAATGCACTCCTCCCCGAGGATGCAGGATGGAGGTGAGGGCTGGACCACCGTGGGCTGTATCCTAGGGCATGGGGTCTTCATGGCAGGCACTGTGGTGCAGGACGGTGCCCCAGGCCCAGCTGAGCTGCAGGCGTTGGGGTGACAGGGATCCCATTCTTCTGCCATGTCCTTGTCACAGGTGGTTAAAGAGATGGACAACGAGAAAAGGATCCGGCTGTTGCAGTTTGTGACGGGGACGTGCCGCCTGCCTGTCGGGGGGTTTGCAGAGCTCATCGGTGCGTGTGCCCGAGGGTCCTGGGGAGCTAGGCAGGGGCTGTGGCCGGGTGCAGGGGCTGGTGGTGGGACCTGGGTGTCCATGCGTCCATCACAGAGTGCGAGGCAGCCACAAACAGTGACGCGGCTGCGACGTGAGCATGGTGATTTCATCTGGTGGCGTGCTGTACCCGACATATTCCTTAGCTGTGAACCGTGCTGCCATAGTTAACTTTGTCAGTCCAGTTTGTAATCCCATTTTGAATGAGATTTGGTTTTTGATTTAATTTTGATTTCTGTGTGATGAAAACTCCTTTCCAGAAAACCACAGTGTGGCATTATTCAGCTTTAATTTGCTGCTTTTTGGGGCCTGTACCAGCCTTTCCCTTAGTTTCCTGGAATCAGTGTTGAGCTAACTTAACCCACTTGTTTATTCTTGCTGGCAAATAAGGTTTTTCCAGCCCCTGGAACCTCTCCAGCATTCACAGTCAGTTCAAAAGTGACCTCAGTGACTAAGGCTTCCTGAGCAAGGTTCTTTAAAACTCAGGGAGAAATATGTTTTAGCACTTGCTATTTAACCATCCTGCTTGAAAGCTGTGCTGTTCCCTCTCCGTGCTGTCAATAGGCATTTCAGCTTTCTCCTTTCTTGTTTCTCATACATCCTCTCTGCAGAGGGGTCAGAACAGGCAGTAAGTCCTGCTATGGATTTATCCCTAATGTCTTTCTAGGATGATAAGGGGGTGCGATGGTGCTCAGTTGGCTAATAGTGTGTTGGAGGGTTTTCTTTTTCAGCTGCTGGTCATGTAATAATATTTGCTGTGCTCATAATTAACAGGCAGCAACGGGCCCCAGAAATTCTGCATCGATAAAGTTGGCAAAGAGACATGGCTGCCTCGGAGCCATACATGGTAAGTCTTTTCTCCTTGGCCCTGTTAGGAGCATGTGGGGACAATCGCGAGCAGCCTCTGAGGGGCCGCTTGGGGCCCCTGGCACCCTCTGTCCCATGGGATGTAGCTGCCATTCCTGGCTGTGCATCTTACCCCAGCTGCTGTGTGTGGCTGAGGCGGGAAAGGACCCTGCTGTGGGGAGGAGGGTGGGGATTGCAGTGCTGCTCACAGCCTCTGCTGTCTCTCCAGCTTTAACCGCCTGGATCTCCCTCCCTACAAAAGCTACGAACAACTGAAGGAGAAGCTGCTTTATGCGATTGAGGAGACGGAAGGATTTGGACAGGAATGATGGAGCTTTTGGTACTTTCCCAGGTTGGGGGGGGCCCTGGAGCGCTGCTGGGCTTGAAGTGCTGCCCGCAGAGCTCGGCGCTGAGCCCTCTCTGCAGGATGGTGCACAGGATGTGCAGATGCTGTTGCTCTTGTTCCTGGGTGCGATCTGTATTATCGCAGCCCTGGGGGAAACGGGTCCATGTTTTCCTCCCTAAAGAAATCTGAGGTGCGATGAGGTGTTTACACCTCTCGCCCCTCTCTGGTTCTGCTCAGCTCACGAGGGGTGCGAATTTGCGCAGAGGGGATGGGGGGAAGCACTTAGCAGGCAGCACGAGGTGCACCGAGGTTCTCTGGTCCCCACTTGCAGACGCAGTTAAATGTGATCTGATTTTGGCACAGGCTATTTTTGTCCCAGTGTTTTCTGCCTTTTCATGGCACTTTAATAGGTGCAGGTGAGGAGGGGAGATGGTTCTTGAACTGACTCTTGGGTCACTTTTGGGTCCTATCCTTCACCCAGCAAAAGTAATGGAGAACCACAGTTGATGTTGCACTGTGCAAGGTCCAGGATGGCCCCTTCCCGTGCCAGACCCAAACCACGCAGAGCCAGGGCCCAGCAATATGTTTGTTATGTGTTTGATTTGCAAGCATGTGGCCCCTTTGCAGTTGTATGTGTCCTGTGTTAAGTGGTTTGTTGCTTGGAGCTGATGCTCCACAGCAGCCTTGGGGGCTCTGGTCATGTTGGGGTACATCTGTCCTTTGCTTGGTTATGGGTTCAGCCCAGACTCCCTGTGTTTCCTGTCACGGGCTGGCTGGTGGCAGGAGCTCCTGAAGCTGTGGGTGAGGGCAGGATCAGGCCTCTGTCACTTATCTGGGTGCCACTTCTGCTTCCCCCTCTCCCTTCTGTGCAAGAGGGGATATGGACCCACGTGAGCGCTGGTGTACATAGCTGTACATAAAGGAAGTCTATGGATACCAGACACCGCAATAGCTTTTGACTCGTAACCGAATAGTTTTGTACTGCACCATCCTGCCTCAGCCATACCGATTTCTTGTGCAATAAATCATAAAGCAGCTGCCGATGTACGTGTTCCTATCAGTGCATTGCATGGGGGGACAGCCTGGTACAACCACCAGGATGTCTAGGCTGGGATGGGCACCCAGAGCTCCTTACTGGTGTCCACACGGCGCCGGAGGATCAGGCTTCATCCCACCTCTAATTCACTCGGCTAAAAGTGGTGGCAGGGTCCTTTGCCAGAGCTGGAGCTGCCTCCCTGAGCCACCACGTGAACCGAGAGCAGCACCAGTGAAACAGAATCATGTGCACGAGGCCAGTGGCCACAGGGTTGTGGTGTTTAGTGAAAACACCAACAAAATCAGAGCTAAACAAAACTCACTGTTCCTATCACTGGGACAGCCTGCATCCTGTAATTCTGCCATGACTTTGCTTTTCTGCAGCTGCTTTGGCGTATCAGTTTTTTGTGTGAGTTTGGAGGGTTTTTTGGAGGGGCTGTATTTTTGGTTTTTTTTAATAGCCTGTACTTTGTGGGTGATCCTTGCCAGTGCCAGCCCAATCCCAGCAGCAATGCTTCCATTGCTGCTGGCACTTTCCACTCTCCTGGCACCAGGGTGCTGATGCAGCACGTGTGGTCACCAGGAGCCCTGGCTGCTGTTCCAGCCCTGGCCAGGGTGGTGACAGGATCCCACCTTCTCTCTCCTCTGTGTCTCCCTGCAGAGCATCACACCAGCCAGGAGTACAGCTTTTATCTACTACTTTTTCAAGTGGCAGGTAACAAGAGCCAACCCCAATCCTGTCACCGGCCAGATACAAAGGACAGGAAAAAAATAAAACTAGCCCAGCACAAGGTACAGCTGAAAAAACCAGCACCAGCCCCTTCACTCGTCACTGTGTGGTGCTTCTGGAACTTGGCCCCTCCTGCTCAGCTCAAAAATTAATTCATGTGAACAAACTGGTTCTCACCTAGGAGTGAAAACTTGGTATTGAGTAAGACTAGACCATATCTGAAGCATAACAAAGCACCTGGTAAAAATCCTCAGCTGTTGGCCTCAAGGCTGTGGTGGCCCATGGAGGGGAGGAACAGTGCTGCATCAAAAAAACAACACACTTTCCCCTGGCTTTGAGCCCTCCCTGGCTGGGTGCTGAGGCCTTACTGTGGCTGTTTGCTTGAGGAAACCTCTCCAGCCATGTCGTGGTGAGCACAAAAAGCAGATCCCAGAGCAGACCTCTGACCCTCCAAGAGACAGGAATCCAGCACCAAACTGATTTAGTTTACAAGATTTTTAATTTACAAATAAAAAACCTACACCTTTTACTTTTTCTCCTTTTTCTCCTCTTTCTTGACATCGCTCTTCTCCTTGTCTTTCTCTTTCTCATCTTTTCTCTCCTTTTTACTGTCTTCTTTTTCCTGTCCTTCTTTCTTCTCTGCATCCCTGTTGGCAATCTTGTTGTTAATGAGGTTGTGCAGGGCAACCACAGAACGGATGAGAGAAGCCAGGTAAACCACCACCATCTGGTCGTTGGTCTTCAGGTAAAAGGCCTTGACAAACTCTTGCAGGTTGACATCTGGTAGCAGGTTGAAGACATCCTGGAGGTGGTAGATGATCTGGTGATTGATGGGGAGTTTGCCCATGGCTACTTTCTCTAGGTAGCTCCTGATGTCCAGAAGCTTGGAGTTCAGTCCCTTCAAGCCATGGACCTGATTTGTGATCCGCTGGGACAGTGTGCCCACTGTGGTGTCCTTGATATCCCTGAAACACCCACCACAGGAAGAATCAGCATTAGAATATTACTTTGTATTCTCATTAGCAGCTGGGCCCATTAAGAGCTCTTTCCAGCCTAAAAAGAAAAGCAGTTTGAAGCATAAGTCAAATGAATGTGCCCCTTCAAACAAGGAGCACAAGCAGATGTATGCTACAAAGTATATCTACAATAGACCACTGATGTATCCTGTGGCATGTGTATGTTCTCTTCTGAATACTATTTGTAACACTGGTTAGAGGGCGAGAGAAACAACAGTATTTCAGAGGGTGACTGCTCTCTTTTTTTTGTCTGGAGAGCTACAGAGCCATGAACAATGCTCCCGTTCAGCCCTCACAAATGATGTGATATCCTGCAGCTTTGATTGCATCAATGTGTAGTTTTCATCATCTTGTCAGTGGGCAGTCACACTTTTCACTAGCAGTGAGCAAATACGCCAGGCAAGACTGCTAAGTGAATACACTGTAACGTTTAAGTAGCACGCTGAAGGAGAACCTGGCACTCGAAGACGCCAGATGGATCAGATTATGGTCCTATGCAAGTCTCCCAAGAACACTTTCACGTTAAAGGTGCTTACCGTAGCAAGTGTTCAACACCAACTTCCTCTGCCTCCTCTGCTCCAATCTCACTGGTCACGTGCTCAAACGTCTTGGAGGTTGGAGTGCCGTCCTTCGGGGCACAAGGATAGAGGAGATATGGTCAGACGGAGCCACGGGAATGAAGGTGCACGTGAACCAGCCAGCACAGGCGTCCCCACGCGACCGGTGGGGCAGCTCATGCAATGCCACCCTGTCAGATTAACTGATGCCTGTTTACAGGATCAGGAAGAGGCAGTGGGGCAAATTATGTCCAAACAGCACCTCAGGGGACAGCAGTACACAGCTTGGGGAAGAAGGCTGTAAGTGAATCACAGTATCTTTAAAAAGACTGATTTTAGAGTATGAGAAACTGTGTTAATGAAACCAACACAGCGGTTATACAGAGTCCATAAGAAATCAAAGGAAAGGCTCTAGTTGGATTTTTCTTGACTTAATGAGGGTTAGCATCTGTTGCAAGTACAGAGCTGTGAACAGTTTCTTCTTTCCTGTGCTCTGTGTAATTTTCAATTGATGTATTTTATGTACCGGTGGGTAGAATGGAAAGTACCTCTAAATATCACAATTATTTCTTACTTTCCAGATACAACCTTATTACATTTTGGGATACCTTTCATCATCCTGATATTTGCTCTCAGCCAGCTAGAAACATACACAATTCCAGAAAAAAACCCCTAAACAACCAGTATGGAGCAATCTCATTCAAAGTACAACTTAAGACACTGGATATTAAGGAAGATGTTTAAAAGCTTCAGCAGCTGAATACCTGAGAATGCCTCAGAAAGGCAAAAGGATCAAACTTGCTTGTATACATATCCTGAATGTAATTTAAATCAAAACCCTGCAAATGAAAAGCTAAAGGTGACTTATTACTGTATGTTGTTTGTCTGCATGGTGCTGCAATGGATTAGTAAGTGTTGCTCATGCCTGACCTACCCAGCACTGCCAGGTGCACAGATGAGTAAGCACACCATTACTCAACACCTCGGCAAACAGGCTGACGTGTCAGAGCGACATCTTAAAAGCACTCCAATCTGTGACTTTATTCATGGCAACAGATGTGACAGAAACAGGTAAGAAACATCTAAATCACATGGACCGCCAGAGCTGTGGAATTCCTCAGGTCAAACAGTAACACAGAGCTTTTCTTCCAAGCGCACCGGTGGATGAAAGCTTTAGTTACAAATGCATGCATTACAACTGGGGTTCAGCCTCTAATGTCAGCAGATTTTGGCTGCAAGTCACAGACCCTCACTAGTGAGTGCAACATCCTGTATGTCAAAGGTACATCCTTCAGAAAATAAGGCAATCTTAGAAGGCCATTTTTTAATGGAAACCCCGTTCCTAGGAAAAGGTAGAGAGACATGGTGAATACTCACATCGTGAACTTCTTCAACAGAAATATAAGCTTCTGTGGGCAGCCCCAGGTCCTTTGGCTTCACATCAATAATCACCAACACCTTATGGAAAAAGCGAACGTTTCAGAAAACTGGGTTTCATTCAAAGACCACAAAAAAAATCCCCAAGTCAGCTCTTCATTGCAGAGCAATGGCACACTGGCTGCTCAGAGGTGTAAACTCCAGGATCTAAGACAAGACATCTATAGCTCTTTCAAAAGACTCTGATCTGAGTTCCTCAATCCCTTTGCAGCTACCATGTCTTTTAACAC